GCACAAATTGCCTTTTTGGGACGTACTCATGTGAAGCATGGCCACTAGATAAGAGGACTCGTTCCTCATTTTCTACAATTGATTACTATCATTGCGGGAAGTCTGGTACATGACCAATTGGACCTTTTTTTTTCTTTTTTAATAGGTAGAGGGTAAAAATCCACACCCCCAATTTATTAAATCTTTAGAACAATAGCTGTACTGTTGAAACTGCTATGCATTACTGTCGTACTGCAGTATTTTCTCAGGTTTCCATCTCTAATTATAATTGCTGTAGCCTAATTCCTATTAATACTTTTCTCTCTACATCCCTTTTTATAACTCTTTGTCATTGGTCAGACATCTTGGGTAGAAATTAAGCTAAGAAGTTAAATCTAGGGAGCCTTCAGTCTTTTAGAGTTAAGCCCAATTTCGAATGAGAGCATAACATTAGCTGAAAACTTCTTTCTAGCCTTGTTCTGTACAGGGAGCTATTGGCATCACCAGAGCTGATGCAAAATATTTCCCTTATGTTGGAAACCTGCTTGACATGTTATTTTGTTTGTGGATATCTGCAGTACCACAGGATTTTCAGCTGAACAGTTATTTCAAGGTGGTTAAAGCCAAGCAAAAGGAAAGAAGAACATGCCGTGAACGACCCGCAGAAAACACCCCTTTGCCTAAACAGGGTTGTAAGCAGTCTGCCTCCCCTGCTGCTGGTCAGACTGATTTGCCATTATATTTTCTATCTTGGAGGAATTTTGACAGATTTATGTGTGACACTAGGTTACCCTATAACATGGAAAGCCTGTAATTAGATACTGCACAATCAGCTACATCTCACTGGCAACCTGTCTGCCTTAAATCTGCCATCATGCTTTATCAAGCAAATGCCTCCAGGGAGACCAGTGCCTCCGCAAGCCTGTTCTTGGCGGGACTTACAGAGGTGGCAGTATGTGTAAGGTAATGGACCTGCTCCAAAAATCATGGGGCAGCCATAGATGGGGACAAGCATGTGTCCTGTAGCACTGTCACAGTATTGAACTCAGGACAACCATTTTCTCCAGCAGCAAAAAGCATATCAGGGCCCCCACCTGCCACCACTAAAGGAATCAGGAGGACCCCTCCTGCACTACATAGGGGTACAGCTACATATCTTATATGTAAATGTGCTATAGGATGTTTTTGATGGCTTCAAGAAGAGTTTAGTCTAAAGCTGTGTTATTATCTGAATATAACATTCTTAACCTGTATGTGCTGATGTGCTTGCCAGACAGCTGCTGGTTTCCATTTGAAGGAAAAGTAGTAGCAGAAGAAACAAAAAAGGTATTTCAAACAGCTGAAACCATACAGTATGAAAGGCATAACAGTACAATAAAGCTTAAGGAACATGAGACAAGACAGATTGTATTGAAGAAATCACTTGAAAGATTCTTCCATACAAAGCCATTAGAATATCTGTGATTTTGTAACTTCTTAGATGTCACCTACAAAAAAAGGTGCATTACACAATGGAGAAGTATTGCTAAATACCCAAACACGTGCACAGCCCACATGAGTACCATAAAACTTCAAAGGTGGTTGCCTAGTTAAAACACTAATGGTTTTAATAATGTATTTCTTGGAACTGGCTTTAATGTTCTCAGATATACATAGATGTTTAACTCCCAGAAAATGATGTGCAGAAAGAGAAAACAAGCCCACTCCCATAGGCATGGTTTGGACGTCACTGAGACAGTAGCCAGCAAGGAGAAACATTCAGAGAGACAGGAAGGAGCTGAATATCCCAATTAAAGGTGGGGCACCATAGCTGTGCTGAGTTTCTTGGACAGGTATCAATGTTTTTGAAGAGAGTCTAAACCCAAACCTCCCTTATAACCATCAACACCGGAATTTGGATCTAGTTGTCCATGCCCTGCAGAGGCATACACTTGTATTTAACCTCCATGATATACATGGGGCACAAAAGTTGCTCCCCAGCATAGGGATTGGTTACTGTTCCCTTTGCACAACAACATGACACAGAGGAGGCATTAACGAGTTTCCGTAAAGCGCCCGACACACCATAGAGGTATTAGTTTGGTTTCAACGCTTAATTTTGTTGTCTTCAGGTGCTCTACGCCAGCAGAGGGACTGAAACCTCCAGAAATAGCATGAAGTTCGTTATTTCACGGTCTCTGCTGCCATCTATTGACCTATTGCTGGAACTTCGGTCACTATGGCGGTCTTTGGATCCCTCAGATGATCTTTCCTTCATCACTTGTCCTTTAGTTACCTGTTAGTGTCAGCATGTTCAGGTTCTGTCCTCATCATATAAGCTCTCTGGACTAGCTTCAACATTCGCTGCAGTTAATTCACACGGACAAAGACTCTATTTTACAATGTGGTTACATCCATCCTATTCCACAATATGGTTACATTTTGTGGGACTTGCAGTTTTATTTTGCAATATGGTTACATCCTATTCTAGAAATGTAGCTACATTTTGTGAGACTTCCTTGCAAAACACTTGATATGTGAAAAGTCAAGCAAATCAAGTAACTAGAAATTTACACAATTTAACAGTTTCAGTGGAAATATATTAAACTTCTCTTTCATGTGGCAGGGTTCAGTTGGTCGTACCTCTTGGTTGCTGGAGGCTTTGGCCAGGCTCTGGGGACACTTCCTTTTTCTTGAGGGGTTTTTGCACTTGGGGAGTTGTGGATGGTGTGGCACATCCACATAAGGGGGACGCGCATGACATCTTGCTGGGCAGCTCACACATAGTGACAGTGATGGTGGTAATCCCATCATTTAGAGCTCCTGACAAGGAGATGGCAAGTGAGCCAGGGAAAAGGTGGAGAGGAAAGAAATGAGAAATGCAAGGCGAATAGAAAGAGACCAATTGATCTATCTGCCAAGAAAAAGCCAGGGTGACAATTTGCTGCTAGCATTAATGACAGAGTTTGCTCATTTGCAAAATGTGTCGCGAATGAGTGCTCGTTTGCCAGTTCCAAGAGCAGTGGGTCAATCAATCCCATGGGGAATTTTAACTAGAAATCTGACAATTTGAAGAAAAATGAAAGCAGAGCTCGAGAAGAAAACCCTGTGGCTGCATGGCAATGACTAAAGGGAAGCGTTTCAAAAGAGTGGAAATGCCCAGGTAGCAGGGCTGCCTGTGAGGAATTGTTAAATGGCATTTTTAGCAAAGTAGGGATACCTAAGAGTGTGGGATGCTGTTTCGATGATGGGAAAAGAAAGAAAGCTAGGAGCATTGCAGCCTTGTCTGTGGCTTAAGGCCGTGTCCCTGGCTCTGCCCTCCAGGATGGGCATCCAGAGAGGAGTGAGAAAGGACAACCCCCTTGGTGCAGGCGGAACGCCTCTGCTGGCAGCTGCTCCTGACTTGTCTCCTCCTGTAGCTGTCAAGAGGCCTGAGGACAAGCGGCAGCAGTCCCCGATCCCACCAGCTTCGCTGGGGAGAGGAAGGCCACGCAGGAGGAGCATCTGCCTGCTGGTGCCTGGCGAGACCCACCCACTGGTGCTGGTACGTTGCTTTCTCGTGGCCTCTTTTGCCCTCCTCTGGGGATAGAATGTGCTCAGTGCAATCCCTGCAGGGCTGGGGGCAGGCTGACCTGCTTGCCTTGGGGCAGGAGGTCTCGTCCTTGGCTGAGTGGGAACTGATGCTCTCCCCTGCCCCAGCGTGTGGTGGCTGTGTGACTGCTGCCCGCTGCTGCAGCAGGTACTGGCCTGGGCAAGGCTGCCGGGGCCTCAGCGCCAAGCCGGTGCCAAAATGAATGGGGACCAGAGCTCCGCAGTGGCTGTGGCAGAACCACGGCTTCATGGCTCTGGCACAGGCGTGCTTCCACACCTCCTTCAGGGCACCTCTGCCGGCTGCCCTGACAAGGAACTAAGCTACTGTTCTCTCTTGGCAGTTCCCTGAGCTTATTCCTGGGTACCTCACCACAGAGATGATCCTAGAGGAGGAGAGGGAGGCAGCATATCAGCGACAGCTCTTGGGACCTTAAGGCTGGTAAGGGCAGACTGGGAATGCGAAGGGCACGGCAAGGAGGAGAAAGCCATGGCCCGGGTTGGCAGGGCAGTGGGTGTCTGTGTAGCACAGGCTGAGGAAGCTCCTGGGGCATTGCTGCCTGGTCCTTTGGTCTGATGCTCTTAGAGACTTGTGAAGACTCAGGAGGGAGACCTCGTGTCCCGCAGTCCCCAGGGTGATTGATGGGTGAGGTTGCCCAGGGCCGGAGCTGCAGCTGTTCAAGCTGGGAGGCTCTGCTAAGAGGTAGTCCCATGCAGCAAGTTGCAGGTCCTGATTTCTTGCTCCCTTCCAGCAGCCATCACCCAGGTCTGCTCAGGGTGATTGCCCTCATATCTGGGCAAGCTGCTTTCACCACCGGCCTTACTCACACCACCCAGCCCAGAAGCAGGAGCACACCCGTGTTGCCAGGTGAGTCGGGGTGGACAGAGCTTCTAGTGGGGTGAAGGGCATGGCTTGATTTAGGCAGCAGCTTTCCTGCGGGACCTGGCTGAGCTCCCTGGGCTCAGAAGGCCCGAGGGGCTGCTGCTGGGGCTGTGCAGAGCCTTGCCAGGCAAAGGGAAGGGGCCTCTGTCACTCGCTGCCCCAGCCTCCAGCCGTGGAGGGTGGAGGGGAATCTGAAATGCTGCTCCTTGCCCCTCTGGATGCACTGGATGCCTCGGCTCCTGTGGGTGCTGCCAACTCCCTAAAGCCCGGCTCTTCCTCCTTTGCCAAACCCAGCTCACAGTGGTGTGTTGCTTTCCAGAGACTCCTGCGCCCTTCTCTGGCCAGTGCTCCTCAGGCCTTGGACAAGACTCCGCTTCCTCTGGTAAGGATGGAGCTGGTGCTTCAGGTTTGAGAAGCTGATGGTCTGGGGGATGGTGGAAGGGCAGGCTCGGGTGGTAGCTACTGGGCTCCAGGGGTGCAAAACCTTCCATTCCCCCAGGAATAGGGATGGTCGTAGCCCTGGTGCCAGCTCAGAGTGTGGCTGCAGAGACCTGAGCAACATTTATGCTTCCAGGTTCGTCCACCTCTGCCTCTTCCAGCCGGGCAAGATCCAAGGACAGAACCTGCAAGCAGCACAAGGCACGGATCCGTCATTTCTGCAATAAGTAATGCCCAGTGCTGCTGGCCCCCATCTGTGGGGGCTCCGGTTCAGAGCAGCCCTGAGGCAGGACCGGAGTGATGGGGCCAGGCCCCTTTTCTGCTGCTGGCAAGAAGCCGTGCTGGGTGGCTGTGCCTGGGGTGTGACAGGAGGAACTCTTCCTACTGGAGGAGTTCCCCAGCCAAGGCTGATGACCCTCTGTGCGTCTCTGCAGCATTTCTGTCCTGGCTTTCTTTTGCCACGTTTCCTAAGGTGTAAACTTTTGCTCCAGCCCTGGCAGTCTCTCCTCTCCCTTCTTATCCCCTTTCTCATGTTGGGGTGCTCTGGAGCCACTGGGGGAGTCCAGAGCAGACTGCGGTCCTCCCCGTCCCCAACTCCCGATTGGTTTTCATTTGTGGCTCATCCCCACCTGTTTGGGATTTACCAGCTCCGAGGAGCTGCCGTGCTGTTTCCCCTGGTGCCCTTCAGTGGGAGTGGGGCAGAGCCTGCTGGAGCCAGGGGTCACCCGAGAGCTGCTCCCCCCTGCCCGTGGGGTCCTCACCACCTCCAGGAGGGCTTCACTGCTGGGTCTTTTACCCTCTGAGCCCTGTAATTGTGCGTGTTGGGTGCAGTCTAAATTACCCCAAACCCCACAAATATTGAAACATTCTTTAGTGAAATCACACTTTGTTTTTATATTTGAGCTGTTTCCTTCTAAAGTGTGATGTACGTGGGTGGGACTAAACCTGTTCTCTTTGTTTTTTTTTTTCTTCCTGAAGGAAGAGGAACGCAGAGATGCCAAGTGGCCTTTTGGGCCACCAGAGGCAAAACGTTAGCGTCTATGATGTTGATTGAAGATTTTTATTGTTCTATGTTTGTTCTACTGCTGTTCTAACATTCTTGTTGTACTGTTGTTGTTTTGTTTTTTTACTGCAGCTTTTTGTTGTTATACTGTTTTTCTGTTGTTGTTATAACAATAGTAAACTAGTACTTTTACCATAATTTTACTACCATTTTAGCAATTTTTACTGCCAATATACAATTTCCACCCTTCCACCCCCCCTGCACCCCCCACCCCCTATTTTTATGTTCCCCACTTAAAATAAACAGACTATGTTCACATCTGCCTTCCCTGTGTTTGATTCCTGGGCCAGGGCACAGGTGCCACTTTCCAGCACCCTCTGTTTGACCCATCACTAAGTGTCCCCTCTGCCTGAAGATGCTCCCCATGGTGCTGCAGCACCCAGTTTACAGAAGGTCAAGGACAGAGAAGTGCCTTAGCAACGGCAACCAGAGGAGTCTTTATGCTCTTGAGCAGAGGTGGATGGGCTGAACGAAACACGTAGGGTGCTCCCCAAGCTCAGGCATGGCAGCAGCATCCTCTGTATGGCTGGCATCATTTTCCTCCCTCATAAATGGTGATGACTGCATTTAAAAAAATTCACATCTTCACCTTATTCATGGACCAAATATCTTATGCTGCCATTTAACTTTCACCTCCATGCTAATGTTCTTATATCTGGGCCTGGCTTTGTGCCATACATTCAAAACATTTTGTCCTTCCCATTGCACATTGAATTTCACCCCCTTCTTCATCCAGAAACGCCTTCTTTTCTGTCTCAATGGTGATCCCTATGCACTGTTCAAGATCTTCATCTACCTTAGTACAAAAAAGTGAATGGAAGGGCACAATCCTCCTCATGGCCACACTGCAGCATCAGATTGCTTACAGAACTAAGATCAGGAGCTCTCCTGGAGCCACTCATTCTGCATTGGTGATGTCTGTGCTGCAGCTAGAGGTGTGACAATCTACTGCCCTCCTGGAGCTCAGAGCAGTGAGTTCAGTTTGGGTAGCACAGCTTACCTCTGACACCACAGCAGTAACCAGACAGTAAATGAGTTCTAGTGACACCTAAGCTAGGCAGACATGCTTAGACATGTGGAAGATATTGTGCTACCAAGTGCCAGGAGAGCAGAAAATGCATCCAATTCCTTCCTTTACAAAGAACATTGAGAGCACTAATGCTACATTTTGCTACATTTGTAAAAACATCCAAACACTTCTGAATTGCAACAAAAGGGAATTCTACTTACAAAAACTTTCACTGTGGAAAAGTCAATCTTGTCTGTTCCTTCCTTTTTGAATTTGCGCGGTATGGTGCTACGGTCTGGCTTTTTGGTAATATTCTGGTCACTGAACCAGATCTTTCTGGTCTGCGCACCATTCATATATGACAGATAAACCTCTACCTCAGTCTTAGAAATATTCAAGCTGTCATTTTCTTTCTAGAGGGGAAAAATTTGAAGATAACAAAGAGTCATTAAATACAGTAAGCAGTAAAATTATCCCAAACGACTATTTAAAATAAGGAATTATAGTTCATTTCTTTCAAACTTACATATATTTTCAATTCCAGATCAGGATCAAGCTCAGTGTGCAGCTGGTAGTTAATGAACACTGGGTCAGGGTGACAGTGTAATCTAACACATGGTATAAAGGTAGTTTCCACTTTTAACATCATATCAACAACTTTACCCTCTGTTGCATGGCTCAGACTTGGCATTAAGTAATGATATTCAGATTCATTTCCAGGACACCTAGAGATGAAGAAATACAATAGCAAAGATGTAACAGTCATCAAGTACCCAGCAGTGGGTACAATTACAAACAGGGGCACTCAAAACCATTTTAATGTCTTCCTGACTTCACACAGATATCTGCTAAACCTCTTCTCTCTGATCAGGGCTGCATGCAGAGCACCTGAGAAAATCTCTGTCTTGGGCCTGTGTTTACCTTTAAGCATATAATACACACTCTGCATGCTGCTTTAAGGCTGATTACACACTGCTAAGGCAGATATGTCCTGCAGTGAGACAGGAATAGTGACAGTGATTTCTCCTTCCTTCCCCTCAATGCAGTTGACAAGAGAAGAGCGGGACATGTTCTCTGGCACCCCTGGGCACTGGCTTTCCCCAGCTTAACTCCTGAGAGATGGGGGTTGCTACAGTCACCCCACTGTTCACTTCGGGGGTGGTTTTGCTGTTTTCTGGTTTCTCTGCTGCACACACAGGGGTCAACAGGGTTCCCATCTCCTCGCAGCCTTGGAGAAAGGGTTTCATCCCAACAACAGCTCCCGTCTGTGGCCCCCTGCTGAGGCAGTGGCACCATGTGGATTCTCAACACAAAGCCAGAGAGAAGTAAGTCATACCCTCTTCGGACAGATCCAATGTGTGGAGGTTGGGAAGACTCAAAAAGGACAGATTTGGAACAAGTCTCTAAAGCATAGAAATAAGGTTTAGGGAATTATGCAGGAGAGTAGCTTATGTGTATCATGATCTTGTACTGAGAACGTGAGCAACTGCAATCCTACATGTGGTCATACTTATTTCAGTGGGGTGACTGATAAGTGCCTGCAAGAGTTTAAAAACTATTGAGATCCTCCTTAAACCTTAAGAACAAAACCTAATCCATCAAGAGGCCTGTATTTGGTATTATAAAAGAGATTAAGACTTACAGTGAGATTTGATCTCTGGTCATCTGAAACAGTCACACTGTCCACAACATTAAAATTTCTACCAATCGTAGTAATTTTACGACCACCACTGTAAAAAACAAAGGGTGGGGGAAGGGAGGTTACCTGTTTTCTCACAGATAAGTCCTGCATTACAGCTTCAGCTCCGCATAAACTACTCTTGTACGTTTTGCTTTGGTATCAGCCAAAATAATAAAGTCAAATTGCAGCACAAGATAATTAGAGCAATGCAGCATACTTTCATTCTTTCCTCATCATGTAATGGCAAATACTTCCGCCACCACAAAACCAAATGACATGTAATGAATACACATGCATACCCCTTTTCAGGGACTCTCCACCTTGTTCTCTATTCATGCAGCCAAAGAACTAAACTGTGATTTAATATTCTGTCTAGAAGAAAAAGAATCATGTTATTTCACTGCCACAGAGCAGCCCTGCCTGTGCTTAATTCTTGCCTTCTTCAGGATGAACCGATGGTGCCAGGCACCTCACAGGAAACATCTGATTATTTTATTATTATGAAAAAATAAATTATCATTATCTTGTGTAAGTCTAGAATAAACATGAGTTCAAATCTGAAAATGATAGTAACCAGGAAAGGACAAGAGATGTGATTCTTGGTACTGGGGGTAGGGCACAAATGAAAAAGCAGAGGAAGAAAAGGTAATAAAGCATTGTTAGTGTGAGAGTGTCTAAATGCAGTAAAAATATTAAGCAAGAAATGTACACTGTTGCTGGGATAAGTGTTTTTATTATGGCATTTTGTTGCAGGAAAACTTTCTAAATGTCAGTTTGTATAACCCTTTCTCTCATAGTTACCTCAATTCTACTGTTTACCAGTAATGTTCTGATACATTGGGTTACAAAGAGGACACATACCTTTGGGTTCTCTTTGTCTTCTAAAATAAACTTGACTGCACTTCTGGCTTGCTCGTTTGTTTGTACCAAAGCAACTAAGAAGAATCTCCAGTGTATTAAAGCGAGAATGAAAAGGGTCGACTTGGCTAGACTCAAGCAAAAAAAAATTGTTCCAAAGGCCAGATGTAATTTTCTTGTTTCACTTCTTGACTCCACACAGATGACTTGAAAATAAAATGCTTCAGTACTTGGTATTGTTCCAGTTGCTGATGCATGTGCAGAATATTGGGAGCATGTGGTTCTTACCATGTTAGGAATCTCTGTTTTAGTAGAAATTTTGGCAGGAATAACACAGTTCTATGTCATAGTTTTCCTTGATATTTGTTGCTAGTCAGTAAAGTATCTGTTCACTTTATCAGGTTTCCAATTTCTTTCTTCCCTGTTTTCTGCCATGTCCAGAAAAAATGGTTATCTTTCTTTGCTATCACCTCCTCCCATATGTTAAGGAAGAAATCTGGCTACATCTTGTCACCTATAACCTGTCATTTTCTGGAGCAGATGGCACAATTTCATGTTGATGAACAAAAGAAGGATGACAGCCTGCTCCTAAGGTAAGAGTTAAAAGGATATTCTTAGGAGTCTCTTTTAAAGCCACATAGTAAATAGCAGCAGACTGATTCAGTAGCTGCCAGGCTCCTGTTGTGCTAAAATGGATCCAGAAGGTTGTCAGTGAGTTTGCCATATTTTTAAGTTGATGTCCTACTCAGTTTTTTGTGATGGTCTCTACAGTGGAACCTTTTCTTCATACATGAATTCATGCAATAGGTGATATTCAGGCACTTCTGATATACAACATCATCACAGGCAGGTGATGGATCTTCATTTCACTTATGCAGAACTACTGTTTTAGGAGAATTTTTTTATTTTTTTTTTTAAAATCTCTCATCTTTTGCCAGTTTTGCCATTATGAATAGAAACCATTGGTCTCTGGTTGCTCAGAAATTTGGCAGTACAGGATGTTACCTTTTCTTCTCCCTCTTCTCTATGTTTTAGCTCTATTATAATTATTATAGAGTGTTCCCGCTGTGAGTACTGCACAGAAAAGCTTTCTTTGGGTAGGTAAACCAGAATTAAATTATGGAAAGGCTGTTATTTTTTGTAAAGAAGGAAGGAGAGTAATCTTAAGTTTACTGCAAGAGAGTAAAAGATTGCTTCTGTAAATCTGTAGGGCTTTTCTTATT